AGCCAGGGGAGTCCCAGCATCATCCCCATCGGGTCCTGCTGGTGTGGGTGCTGGCGGGGAGACAGCTCACACCCACCCGCAGCGAGGCCCGTGTGCCTGAAATGTTCTGCTCCACCTTGCCCGGCCCGTCGGGATGCATGCTCAGCCGTGCCGTGCCGTGTCACTGAGTAAGCAATAAACATCAAAGCTGACCCACGCCTGGCCTTGCTGGAGAGTTTATTCCCCATCTGGGGCTGAGGAGGGGCGCTGGGTGGCCAGAGCTGGAGGTCGGGAGGTAGAGGGAGGCCAGGAAATGTTTGCAATTAAAGCAGGAAGGCAGGAACTGCTCTGTACAATTTGACACGGCCCAGCTGTGGCCAGCTGAGCTCTATGGGTCGGCTGGGCCGGGCTCTCCCCCTGCTCCCGTGGTGGATGACCAATTCAAAAGCCACGGTTGATGCTGGGAGGCCCCGGACAGACCTTCTTGGGTGTGTTGGTAGCACAACACGTGTGTACACCCTATCGAAACCCTTATCAGTGCTTTACATGGCACCTCTCCAAACAGGCGTGCCCAGCAGTACTGAATAATTAACAGCTTTTCACCTACTCCCTGGATTTTTAGCAGCACTGGGGAACATTAAGTTGTCAGTTTGGCAGCTTCCCAGATTTAATTAGTTTTCACCTAAACTCTTTACTTTCTTTCTGTGAATCTCTGGTTTGACCGGTGTGACACGCCCACAAGATCAGCCTTACTGCAGTTCAGAGCTACCAACTCCACAGGGAATTTAGTTTTGTTTTGTTTTTTTAAAGTTATAAACATTGTGGTTGAGTAAATGAGATGGGTAGTGTTTTGAGAAGCACAACAGAGGCAGAAATCCTTTCATGGGGGAGGACTTGGGCTCCTTTATCAACTTAAGCACTTTCTGCGGTTCATCAGACCCTTGGGTTTTACACGATGTCTTGGAAGCTGAGATGAGGAGTAAATTCTTTAAAAATCTCCCCAAATCCCCCCTGCCCAGGTTTCCCAGCCTGGGACCCAAATTCTAGCCGGTCCCATTGCTCTGGGGTGTGCGGTTGGGGTTCGGCGAGGCGACAGCAGATGGCACTTGGCGTGTGGAGCAGACAGCCCAGGCTCGGGGATGTGGCAGTGGGTCGGGAGCTGTAGCACAGCGGGTTCACGTGCCACCCTCGGTGCGGAGGCTGAAACCTGGCTCCCTGCTTTGGCAGAGGCCCTGCTCCCCGGCAGAGGCATGGGGGGGGGTCAGGCAGCTGCCTGCTTTCTCCGTGAGCGTGCGGGGGATGCTGTGCTGCTGCGGCATTTCGGCTGGGTGTACCCCAGGCAGGGATTGCGCCCAAGCAACGCTGTTTAGTCAATCAAGCTCCAACAGTCTTTAGTCTCCCCGTGGTTGTAGAGGTTGTGTCAGAGAGAGGGGAGGTACTGACATACCACAAGTGTGGTGGACCCCGTAGAGGCCATTTACTCCTGGCAGCCTGGTCAAAGCCAGGAGGAAATGCTGGATTTGGGTTTCATGGGGTCATGGAAAGCTGTAGGGTGGAAGGGCCCTGCAGAGGTCTCGAGTCCAACCTCCTGCTTAAGGCAGGGCTAGCTCCTACAGGTCTGGTTATCAGAGCCTCTGGTGTCCAGTCAGGTTTGGAAACACTCCAAGGATGGAGGTCCCACCACTGTGGGTCTTACCACAGCGTTGCACCAAACACCCAGAGAAGGTTATTTATTTTCCTTGTGTGCCTCAGAGTTTCCCTTGTGCACCTGTGCCCATTGTCTCTTGTCCTTTTGCCATGCACTGCTGTGTCTCCCTTCTCCACAACCCTTCTCTAGGTAGTGGAAAACTGAAGTTTGGTCTCCCCAAGATCTCTCTTCTCCAGGCTGCCTGCTGAGCTTTCAGCCCCAACAGTCCCAGGTGACAGCACGGGCGGTGTCCTGGGACAGGGACCTTGCCCTGAGGGTTTGCCATCCGTGCTGCATGACTGCTGAAGTTGCACTGTTCCCCTGAGAATGGCCGAGGAAGTGATAGAGACCAACATCCACAGCGTGAGCACGTGGGGAGACCAGGACGGGCATCGCTGGGGCTGCGCATCCAGCCAGCGGGCATGAGGTGGGCTGGAGGAGGCCGTGGGGCAAGGCCCAGGAGAAGCAGGGTGGGATTAGAGGTGTTTTTTGGGCACCCCTGTCCAAACTGCAGCGGGATGGCGGTGACCATCTGCTACCCTCTGCTGGTTACTCCTCCCCGTGCATGGGCACGGCCTGACGCCGGTCAGCGGGACGTGTCTGGACACCTGCACCCAAGCGTTGCCCGACTCCCTTTAGGGGCATCAGAGCCGCATCGCACCCAGCAGCACCCATCCCTCCCTGCTGCTGCACGGGGGACTGCCAGCCCCTGGAAAGGAGGCCATGGGACCCAAACCTGCCTCCGAAGAGATGAACCAGAGCTTCGGCTTGTGGCCAAACACCCTGCAGCCTGGAGGCTGGTGGTGATGATGCCCCTCTGAGGGGTTGGACTGGAGCCCTCTGAGCCCCACGGGCAGTGGTGCCGGGGGATCTCGTGGCAGGGGATGCCATGTTGCCACCTCCCCGTCCTGGCCGTGAGTGTTCTGTGGGGATGTCACCCCAGCGGCTGCTGAGCCAGCCCGGGGCAGGGCTTCCCCCCAGCTGAGCTCTGGCAGCCCCCGTTACCTGCCCGTAATGGCTCTGTGTGGACGGGGTGTTTGTGGGGACTGCAGGCAGCATGTGGAGCAAAGCCTTTTGCTTGCTGGCAGCCTGGCGCAGGGAGTCCTGTCGGGTTTGCTGGAGGGCAGGAGCTGCAGCATCAGCCTCCTGGGCAGCCTGACTGGACGAGCCTCCTGCCCTGCGGGTCTGGGAACGGGCAGCCAGGGAGAGAAAGACTTTGTCAAAGCTCCTTTACATCCACAGCTACAGGAAAACGTCCTTCCCTTAGTGCCTGGAGCCTGGAGAGGCAGGGAGCAGCGGAGCTGGGGCCTCAGTGCGGGGGTGGTTTGGCAGCCCTTGGCTCTCCCCAGGGTGGTGAGGAAGGAGATTGGGCTGGTTGGTGAACCAAAAGTGCCCACAGACATCCCAGCTTGCCAGAGCAGAGCTGGGGGTGCCAGTCCCAAAACTAATCCCCCCCCCCGAATGTCCAGGGCTCAGCATCCCCGGAGCTGAGCTTTACCTGTGCATGAGAAACCAGCCTTGGATGCTCTTTTAGGGGGGGACCCCCCTGCATCTGCTCTGCCCCTCCTGAAAGTGCTAGGGTGCTCGGGGTGATCTCCAGAGCTGTGCTGGCCCCCCCGGCTGGGCAGGGCCCCGCGCTGCCTTTGGCTGCGGGGGTGGTGAGGGCTGCAGGGGAGCTGGGGCCACCTGACGTCATGAAACCGGGTCTGCTGGGACACCCGGGACCGCTGCCAGCGTGGCAAGGTTGGCCCCGGGGAGCACGAACCAGTTCCTGGCTCCGCAGCCGCGGCCCTGCCCTCTTAATGAGGGATAATTAGGTGCATCTCATCTGCCTCTGCAGACTTGCCCCCCGGCCACGCCGGCTGCAGGCAATGCCCCTGGCATGGACCGGGATGATGGAGGGGCTGGGGCAAGAGGGGCTTCAACTGGGGGTACGGGGGGGGGGTGTGGTGTGGTGTGGTGTGTGGGGGATCTGTGGGGCGGCACGAGCAGGGTGATTTGGGAGGTGAGCACCGGGGCAGCGGCTGCGTGCCAGGGAGCCGTGCGCCGACCTGTGGGCTGCCAACCCCAGACCATGACCCCGGTGTGTCTCTGGGGGGGGGATTTTTTCCCCTTCTGGACCTCCCCTGGGCAAAGGGACCCGCACCCTCGGAGTTTCTGGGGTCACACCGAGCTGCCCAGCAGGTTGTGAGTATCACCCCCTTTGGCAGCCCACAGCCAGCACGAAGGCCCCAGATGTCCCCACTGGCAGCCTGGCACGGCACGGTGAACCCCTCCGTGCCAGGCGCTGGCACAGGAACAGACGAAGCTGCAGTGGCAGGGAACAAGCTGGGCTGGAAAGGGGATGGGTGTTTTGCTGCAGGGGAGGGTGGACTCAGGCGAGATGGGGCTGTGCTGTGCTGCCCCAGCACCACACTGGGGATGTGTCCCCCCCTACCCCTGTACAGGTCCCATGAGGCTGGGGGATGCTGGTCCTCAGTGGGACAGGCTGGGGGCTTCAAATCCCTGTCCAAGGGGATCTGGAAAATGAGCTCTGTGTGCTGAGGGCTGGGCCACCACCCTTGGGTGCAGGGCCAGGTGGGTGGTGGGTGTTAAGGGCTGTCCCTATTGAAGGGCAGCCCTGCACAGCCAGCTCAGAGTGGTGACACAAGACATCTCCTGGCTGCATGTGTCCCCTCTCCTGGGGGTCACCCAGGGGTCCCCACAGCCCCTGCCTGGCAAGTGCTGCACCCACAGTCCCCTGCCCCTGGTGGCACTGCACCCCGTAACCCTTTGCCCTGGCTGACACTGAACCCCCATAGCCCCCTGCCCCAGCTGGCATTGGACACCATAATCCTCTGCCCTGGCTGCAACTGCACCCCCCAGCCCCCCAACCCAGCCAGCACTGCAGCCTATACCCCCTTCCTGGCCGGCATTGCACCCACAGCCCCCTGCCCCAGCTGGTGCTGCACCATCTGATACTGTGCCCCATAACCCTGTGCCTGGCTGGGGCTGCACCCCACAGCCCCCTGTCCCCACCGACACTGCACCCTATAGCCCTGTGCCAGCTGGCACTGCACCCCCCAGCAGCCAGCACTGCACCCCATGCCCAGGCTGCCGTGCAGAAGTCTCCAAGCCCTGCCCTGGCACCGCTGCCGTGCAGACCCATACCCACACCCTGCCTGTTCACATGAGGACTCCAGGGCCAGCGCCTGCCCGCGGGCACCCCAAAAGCAGCTCCTGGGTGAAGTGGGGCTGCGCCGGGCCTGGCTGGGCTTCGCCTGGGCGTGAAGGGTGCCTGCGCGGCAGGAGGGGCCAGGCGAGGCGGGGAGGAATGCGAGTGGGAGAGCAGCCGGGCATGTAGCGACAGCTCCTGGGGCGCGCAGCGCCGGGGATCCCACACGCTGCACGGGGCAGGGAGCAGAGCCCCGGCAACAGGGCTGGCAGCCGGCATGGGGCACCCCGTCGTTCACCCCCTCTGAAGGCCAGGGAGCAGAGGGCAGCGAGTGCCCCAGGGGCAGCACGGCTGCCGTGGGGGTCCTGGCCCCGAGGAGCTCGGCTCCGACGTGGAGGGGCTGGAAATCCCCCAGCGGGTGATGCCCGGCTGCGTCCACACGAGGTGCTGAGGGTCCCAGGGGGGCTGAGGAGCCGCTATGACCCCTGAGAAGGTGCTGAGAGAGGGGGTGCTGGAGAAACGGAGCGGGGGGCTGCTGCAGCTCTGGAAGAAGAAGCGGTGCCTGCTGACAGAGAAGGGGCTGCAGCTCTTCGAGCCCAAGGGCTCGCGGCGCAAGGAGCTGAGCTTCGCCCGCATGAAGGCAGTGGAGTGCGTGGAGTGGAAGGAGCGGCACATCTACTTCACGGTGGTGATGGACGACAGCCACGAGATCGATTTCCGCTGTGCCCAGGAGGACCCGGGCTGGAACGCCGAGATCACCATGGGCCTCGTCCGCTTCAAGAACCAGCAGGCGATCCAGGTTGTTCGCGCCCGGCACAGCTGCCGAGCAGGTACCGGACCCCCCGCCGTGCCGCGGGTTGGGGTGCAGGACCCACTAGAGGATGAGGTCCCCAGCTGCCGGGTCCCATCTCCAAGTGGTTCGGCTTCCCCATGGGAATCACAGAGGGGGTCCCATGGATGGAGATGGGTTTGCAGGGTGGTGGTCCCATGACCCCCCTGCACTGGCTGGGGTCTGCCCTTCACACCCCCCCACCGGGTTTCACCTCCCCCCATCCCTGGAGAGGAACTTTCTAACACTGTCCTTCTGGCTGGGGTGGCCCCGAGGGATGTGGGGCTCTTTGCCATCCTGCACGTGGGATGATGGTGAGGACTGTGGCTGGCCCCACTCCCCAGCTCCCCCCGGGGCTGGATCCTCCCCGCATCCCAGCGCTGGCCGGGTGGGTAACAAGCGCCTTCTCTCCGCAGTGGTGCAGTTCGACACAGCCCCGGTGGGACAGCCCGCGGACACGCAGCATCCAACGAGCAGGATGGAGATGGCCCTTGGCTCAGCACGCGGTGGGGAGAACGGGATCCCGGTGGGCAAATGAGGCCACTGCTGTCTGCGGCCCGGGGACAGGGACAGTGGCCCCGGGGGAGGCCAGTGCAGGCGCTGGCCCCCCCATCCTGCGGCAGGACTGAGGCACCGCAGAGGCTGGGCTGGCACAGCTACGGGGCTCAAGCCACATCCCCTTGGCATGATGGGGCAAAGGACACAGACAGAGCCACCACCTGTGGCTCCGGACGTGGCAGGAGGTGACATCCCTTCCTGGGGTCCCACCATCCTTCAGCTGACACCGCCAGGACCTTGGTGGGCTGGTGGGGACCCCAGACCTCTCCTGTAGGACAGGAGAAGGGAGGGGTGAGGTTGAGCCTGAAGGAAGCAGTGCGACGGTGAGCTCTGCCCACATGCCGGTGACACTGGGACAGATGGATATAGGCGGGGACATGGCTCCCCTGAGCCCCCCATGTTGAGAAGGGGCTGGAGAGCTGCTGCTGCAGCAGGGACCCCTCTGGGCACCGTACCTGGATGGCGCAGTGATGTGGCCGTGTTGCTGGACACTGTCCTGCTCTGGGCTGTTCTTGGGCTAATGGGAGACGCTGGGGAAGGCAGTGGGGACCCCGACTCCATGTACCAAGTGTCTCCAAACAGGACCTTCTGCTGCTTATCTTGGTGTTGCTTTGATTTGTGGGACCCTGCAGAGTATGTCAGAGCACAAATCCTGCACAGAGCTTCGCTGGTTGCTGGCATCCCCCTAAATCTGTCAGCATCCCGCAGTCGGGCTCCAAACCCTGCTGCTGCCACCCCGAGCCTCTCCCGTCGCTCATGTCCCCGGGGATTCCCACGGCGGTTTGTGGGCAGGCGACCCAGGAGCAGTGCTGCCTGGTTTTGCAGGCAGGGATGGCGGGCAGGGGAAGGGATGGCTCTGCCTTGACAGGCAACGCAGACGCAAGAGCCTCGAGCCACCGAGCTCCGCAAGCCGGAGCCTGAGCCCCAGCCCGGCGGCCGGAGGCGCTGCAGATCCTTCCGGAGATTGCCCGGCTGCGTGGGAATCGGGGAGCGCGGCGCCCCGTCCCCCCGGGGGCCGTGGCAGCCAGCCCCAGCCTGCGGGCCGGCCGCCTCCGCCAGACCCCGACCCGCCAGGGCACACAAAGTCTTGTCCCCATGCCAGGACAACTCCGGGGTGGCTTTGGGGAGAGACGGTGGCGTGGCTGGAGCCAGCTCACTGTGCAGGGCCGGGCTCGTGCTGGGTCTTTCTGAGTGGCTTGAGGAATAAGTATTTTGGTGGTTTTTCACCCAAGGAAGCCTGCTTGGCCATCCCTGGACCTCAGAGCTTCATTTGCCGAGAAACCCCCTGCTTGTGAGTGGAGACAAGTGTGGGGGGTCAAGCTGGGAGACGCGTAAGGGGGGGTCCAAGCTGGGGGTGGGGGCAGATGAAGCCAGATCCAAACCCTGCACAGAGAGATCTCTGTATTGTCCCTGTGCTGTGGCAGGGACGGAGGGACCAAAACACGTTGGGTTCCAGGGATGGTGTGACCTGATCCCCTGCCCACCGGGAGCTGCTCTGGGCATGGACCCCTGCATGGACCAGCCCCCCAAACCAGGTCCCCCCACACATTTTAGGAGGGAACGGGGTTGTTATTGGTTGAAGGAAGGTGCTGGTGCTCACACAGCATTTCCATGGCAAGGATCTCTATCCTGAAGTTTCTTGTAAATCCCCAGATTCTGGAGTCAGGGGATTCAGCGAGGCTCATTCAAAGTCCTGCAAGCGTCCTGAGCCTGTGCCATGGTGGGGCAGCACCCAGGGGAGGGGAGAACCCAGTGTGAGTGATTTTCCAAAGTCTTCTGAATTTTGAGCCAGTTTTATGCAGTTTGACTCCTAGTTTTCAGCTCTTCTGCTCTCTCACGCACTATAAATAGTTTCTGTTTCCCAAGTGCCAGCAAAGAACTGGGGAAGAAAATGGTCAAGATGGGTGTGTGTAAGCACTAGCCCTGGCTGTTGGACATGTTCACTATGCACTGACAGGCAAGGAAGCAGAGAGGCCACGGTGCCCATGAGCTGAGGAGAAATTTAGGCATTTAATAGAGGGAGAGGGACAGAAAGAGCAAGGCAAATTGCTATGTTGTCATTTCAGGTCCAGGCATGGGGAAAGCCAAGGTTTTCCATCCCCATCCTGAGCTCCTCATCACACTGCAGGCCAGCACTCAGCCACAGCCCCTGTCTGTACTGCGTACCCCCTCAGATTTGGGAGTTTCTTCTGTGTAGACACCCAAATCTGCCAGGTCCTCCCTCACAGGTGGATTCACGGCCTGACCCTGGGAGCAGGGGCTGAGGGGTGAGAGCGGAGCCAGCGGTGGGTGGGTGGGAGGCAGGATGGATTCACTCGCTGCCTGTGAGGGCTGAATTTTTCATGCAGAGGAAAAGGTCACCCAGAGACTGAAAAGCAAATAAACAGCCAAGAGATTCAGCCAGACAGTGGAGCAGAGCCGGGGCCGGCGACTGGCGCATCCCCCATCACCAGTAGCATGGTGCCAGCACGCTGCTGGCCTGGAAGGGGCTCAGTATTGGTGGGTGAATTTGGGTAAATGGGGTGATTTTACCTCAGGGAAAATATCCTGCAGGCATGGACTCAGAAAGTAGCCGGGCTTGCAGCAGAAAGCAAGTGTTGGGGGAGAAGGGCTATAGGAGCATTGCAGGAGGACGAGCACTGTGGAAGTATTTTTAGTTGACTATTTGCACAGAGTTAGGGATACAAAGGAGCTCACAGGGCATTTCCAGCCAGCCCCAAAAGCAGGGAGAGGACACATGGGAAGCATTTCTAATGTTCCTAGAGGTGGGGAAACTGAGGCACGGCAGAGGGTTGGTAGGCATGTGGCCTCGCAGCCCCAGCCAGCACACCAGCTCGTGCTGTGAGGAGGGGCTGGCTCCTGGGGACCCAGCTGCTGGGGTCACCAAGCAGAGCCGGGGCTGAGTGCCGAGCCCCAAAATGGAGCGAGGTGCCCTGGAGCTGCCTCAGTTCAAAGGCAGGAGCCTGAAAATCCAGCTCGGCTGCTCCCAGCCCCGAGGTGCCCCCGCTGCATCGACCCTCCCTGCACCCCTCGGAGGATGCCCCGGTGCTGGGGCTCCTCTGCGTGGGCTGGGGGCTGCCCTGTGCCTCCACCCCCGGGGCCAGGGGCTCTGCCAGCACCCACGGGTGCTGGGGCTGGCACCCTTCATGCAGCACTGTGAGGGTGAGGTCGGGTGCAGGGGAGCTTCAGGACCCTTTTTTTCCACCTGACAAAATCTCAGCACCCAGTCCTGGCTTTGGGGTCACTCTGGGGCTGGCTGGACCCCCCCAACAGCCAGCAAAGGCGGTGGGGGTCATGCTGCTGAGATGGGGTTTTCAGCATGATGGTGCCAATGCTTTTTGGCAGATGAGACTGTGTGTACCTCCTCCACCATTGCCTGCCCTGTGGAGAGGCTGGCTTTGCTTCTTCTGCAAACATCGGTGTAGTCTGTAGGTGGTTTTTCCTCAGATAAAAATGAAATGAAAAAAAAAAAAAAATCACAGTTGTAGCAAGCAGTATTTTTTTTTAACTTTGGGTCAAGTGTCTGGCTTCCTTCAGATGCTCCTAAAATTATTTCATTGTTGACCATCCTCAATTATAATTCCTAAATCGCTGGATTTTGTTTTGGAATCCAGAACCTGCCTCAGGCAGTGTCAAGCTGGAGACCTGCCCTGTGCCCTGCTACATCTGCATCCCCACGCTCCAGGGGGGCAGATGGCTGGGACATCCACACCACCGAGGTGGTGGGTTTGGCCATCTCCAATAAAGTTGTCTTGTGCTTGAGTGCGGGACAAAATGCTGTCATCCGTAGCATAGAGTCTGGGATGCTGAGGGGGGTCCCGGCATGGACTGCAGTGATTACACGTGTGTTAATACCCCATCCCCAACGTCTTGATGTTGCGTCTTGGAGAGAGTGTCCCAGAGAGGTGGAGGAGGCAGTGGGCGATGAATGCGGTTGTAAGCATCCCACATCAGTGGAGTTGGGGCTGTGGGAGCCAGTGAGGGGGAAGGGGCTCCCCACCCCATCTGGCACTGCAAGAAGAAGCAGAAATAGAGGCCAGGCGTTGCTGGAGCTGCAGAGGGCAGCAACGGAGCTGAATACACGCCAGCGCCCGTCTGACACCCACTGTGAATACGGTCAGTCCATCACCCACTGTCCCTGAGCTGGAGTCACCAGGCTGGTGATGGGGGTGGCTCGGCCCAGCCTTGCAGCAAAAGGGGGTGCTGAGGTGTGTCAAGTTTCTCAGAGACAGGTGGGAGGGCCTGGAAATACCTTGGAAATGTGTAGAAAGTGTGTTAGGGTCCCTGCCTGGGCCTAAAATTTTGGATTATTTGGAATAGCCTTTTTTTTCCCTGTGAAATATTTTGTCTGAGGCTGAAAACCAGGCTGTTTTTTAGGATATTTAAACTGACATCACTGTTGAACCATGTCAACCCATTAACACGGACAGAACAGCTAATCTCTTGTTTGCAAGAGTTGACAAGATCAACATTAGGAAGGTTTTATGTGTCACTTGGCAAAACCATGGAAAGCTTAAAGTCTTCAGCGGGTGGCTCAGCTCCATTTTAATAATGTCTTTCCACTATCCCGAAGTAGATAATTCCTCCTTATTTAATAAAGACTTTTCTACGTGTCAGTGGCACAAGGCAGGGAGCATGTGCTGTTTGTAAAGAACCCGTTAGCTTTGAGAGACCTTTTCCTCAGCTTTGGCACCTTCTGCAATCATTTCAAGTCTCCCCAGAGCATTCAAGCTGAGAAAAACAACTTGTCCCACAATATTCCTAGAAGTGGAAGGTATTTCTCCCGCGTTGTGAAAATTGCCTTGATTTTGGATCCAGCCCCACTGCTGCTTCCACGCAGATTTACTGCCTGCAGCCATGCACAGGGGGAAGAACAAGTCTCATGCCCATGGATGAAGAGGCTGAACTCAGGCACCATCCCCGGCTGCATCACGTGCAGGTTGGTGTCCAGCCAGGTCGGGGTTGCCAGAGCAGGAGGCCGTGGCTAGAGAAGACAGGGCTCTCCAGCTGCAGGAGCTGCTGTGCTCGCCCTGGGAGCCCAGGACATGGAGCAGCAGATCCCAAAAGCACGAGGAGCCTCTGTCCTGCTGGGCGGCGGGAGATGAGGGTGTCCTGGTGAGGCTGATGCAATGGGATGAAGAGCAGCAGGGCAGAGACCTGAGCTGGGAAAGGTCTCTCAGTCCCCTGGGGCACGTTTGGGCTCTGGCCTGGGGCCTCAGGCTGTGATGATGATCCAAATTCTAGTCCACCTTCCATCTCCACAACTGATCCCGCTGCCAGCTCTGCTTTGATGCCTCGGGGCATCACCCAAGTTTGGTAAGATGCAACAGGCTGAGGAAATCCTTTACCGGGCTACAAAATGTACGGATTGTTGGAGAGCATCCCTGGGAGGCTGTCACCCTCTGCTGTCACAAATCAATGGAGCAGTTGGGACTAGCTGAATCCCTTCTGGCAACTCATGAGGGGTGAGAGCTGCCGGTTGATCTGCAGGAGGAACACCCAGGCTGGGACTGTTTCACCAGGGCAAGTCACATGGACCCTCACAGCTTCATTGCAGCGTGACATCGCAACCTGGCATTCACCTTGCTTGTAGGAGGTGACCTCAACGTCCCCGTGTCTCTGAGCTGTTCCACAGAGGGAAAATCTTCTCCCACCCCACAGTGAGTCTGTGGGACATCCTCTGTCCCAGCCTGGTGAGAAACCCAAGGCAGGTGGTGGGATCCCACCATCCACCCTGGCATTTGGGGCTGGCTCTGAGCATGGCAGCTAAGGGGTGGGATGGACGTGTTTGGAGGGTGAGGGCCCAAAGGACAACAGAGGCTCAGCTGTTGTTTCTAAGTCTGTCCCGGATGCCCTGGGAAGCCCGTTGTCTTTGTGAATGTCATTGGGGTTGGTTAAATGAGGACGGTGCTTGGACAGTCAAGGGCAGGATGGGTGAGATGGCTCCAGGGCCTTGAGGAGGGAAAGGGATCCCTCCTGCACCACTGCAAGTCTGCTGCTTAAAGGAAATAGGCTTCATGTGGGGAAACTAAACTGCTCACAGGGGTCAGATATCTTTGAATTTGGAGGCCCAAGATCTTAAGGAGTCAGGGACCGTTGCGGTCCCAGTGCAGTTCTCCCGAAGAAGGAGGGCAGCCGTGGTAGCCCCTGCCATGCGTGTGGGGCTGATGACCAGCAATGAGGAAGCACCAACACCCTCCAGGGACTCAGCATGTCCAGGGGGAGAGAGAAGCTGCTCACATCCATCTAAACACATGTCAGGTTGTCCATTTGTAAGAGACCAAACACAAATGACCTGTAGGACCACTGGGACATTTAAGGACAAGCGGGCTGTCCCTGGGGACTTGGTCCTGAGTTGGTCTGGCCTTCCCATACAGCTCTCCAGGAATTTTCTGTTGGCATCCATCAGCAGCAGCCCATGGGGAACCCTCCAATTGAATCACTGACTCCCAGGAATTGGGGGACATTATTTCGCTTTGAATTTGCTCTCAGTACTGGTCTGCCTCATAGATTTTCAGCCTGTCCCCTTCCTACCTGCCAGCAGCTCAGAAGGGTGCCCACAACCTCAGGTGATACTCAGTGAAACAACCCCTCATCTTGAGGCAGATCACTGCAGTTTTTGAGCCAGGGTGAAGACCCAAAATGTCCTCATCCTGTCATCTGGAGAGGAGGGATGGGGGGATCCTGGGCTCCTGCCAGTCTTTCTGCTGCTGGCCCCCCATGGCAGTGCTGGGGCTTTGAAGCTGATGTGAAGCCCTGACTCGAGGACCCCATCCCTTGCCTGCTCTTTCCTTACTCGAGGTCCCAGCAGAGGATGAAACCTGAGACTGGAGCAAATGGCATCTGAAGCAGCCCCCATCCCCCGGGCAGCGGGAGCTGGTCGAGTCCCCGGGGCATGGCTGTGGGGAATGCAGTGCCTTTGTCACGAGCTAATTTTGTCTCCTCTGTGCTCTGAAAACAATCCCAAAGCAGCCGGAGGAAAGGTGCTGGAGGCTTGGCCCCGCGGGGGCTTTTGCCTTATAAAGGTCTAACGGGGCTGGTATAAAGCCTCCTCCTCAAGAGGCTGGGAGCAGACCCACTGTGCTGGCATTTGGAGTCAGGGAAGGGGAAACGTCCCTGGAGGGGCCCCCAAGGAGGGTGGGCACGGCGGGGGTGCGGGGGGGTTTCTCCTGTGCTTGCTGGGACTTGACTAGTGCAGGTCAAACAAGGATGGGACTGCCACTGCCATCGCCCCTGTCACTGTCACCGACTTCACACCAGCTTGGGGGGGCTGCTGCATCGCCCCTCACAGCTCCCTCCTCGGTGTCCCGGCGGGGGGGAAGGTGGCTGTGCATCCCCTGCTCTGCAGGACAGGGGGTCTGTTGTTGCTCCCCACCATGGGAGCTACCCCGCGCATGCAGCTGTGTGTCCCTCTGCAACCATAATAGCCTCCGGATTAAAATACCGGGCATTGTCCCTGCTGGGCTGCACGCTGGGAATTGTTTGCTCCTAAATTTGCCCCTAAAAATATCCCAAGGAACAGGTGTCGCCTGCCCCTGCGGGCCTCCCGCTGCAGGGACACTGAGCAGGGGGCTTTGCGGGGTGCAGGGGGGCAAGACAGCAGCTTTTTTTGCTGCTTTTCAGAAATTTCATGGGGAAAACATCAGGGCTTGTGAGGGACTGAAACTTGCTTGGGCATCCCAACCTCCTGCGCTGTGCTGGGCAAGCCTGGACAGTTCTGCTCCCCAGAGAAGGGACTGCTTCATCCTTGGTCCCAACAGATCGTCCGACCCGATGCTGTAACCCCACCTTTGCTGTTTTACACGATCACCCCTCGGCAATGTGCCCTGGCCTGGCCTGGGGTGGTTTTGCTGTGGTGGCTCCAGGGAGGCCCCTCGACCGGTGCTCCCGTGGGGCTGCAGCATCGCAGCGCGTGTGTGTACCACCGTGCATGGGGGTCAGCACCACACCAGCTCTCCAGGCTGCTCACACCCCCCAACTTCCCTTCCGAGACTTTCTGAAAGAAAAAAAGAAAAGAAATAAAAAAAAAAAAAAAAAAAACAAACACAGGAGATTGTCTGCAAGGAAAAAGCACTGCAAGTGTTTCAGCTCATGGTTTCTGCCTCCTTGCAGACTCAGGGCTTTCCAAGCATCTCTGGTGCTGGTTTACATCAGAGGGAAGCAAGGCAGATGTGCCCTGAAGAATACATCCCGTCTGCACGGGCACTGCTGTTGCACCACGGCCAGCCTGACCCAGCATGCCTGCCTGCTCACACACAACACACGCGTGAGTAAGGAGTCGGGCAGCGAGTGCTGGCCGAGCTGGGGTGATTCACACGCAAATTCACAGGAATTCACCAAATTGCGTGGGGGTCACGGGTGCAATAAAACACAGGGGCACTAACAGCGCAGGGTGATGTGTGTGTATATCGCCCTGTGCTCGAGACGGTGCCCCAGGTGTGTGCAGCACGTCACGGGGCGCCGGGGCTCGCAGCAATCGTGTCCACACGGGAGGGGATTTGTGCTATTTTTACTGACCACTTGCAGGCAGGCTGTGATTTAATACTCCCCCTCTGCTGCTGGGCCCCGGCAGTGTGCGGCTCTCCCGAGGCCAGGCATCACCTCCCTCCTGCACAGCCCCAAGGTAAGGTGCTGCCCTGGGTGTCCCCCCACCCGTGACTCCCCACGCAAGCGTGAGACCGCCGGTACTTGCATGTGGCAGCGTGGCAGAGAGGAGCCCCCGGCACATGAATTTGTCTGTGTTTCTCCCCCTGCCTGAGGTTGCTCAGACATTTTCTCTGCTCTTGGTGAAAGGATTGGTGAGACTGCAATGGGGAGAAATACTGCTAAAATACCCAGCTGGGCTTTGGAGCTGAGATTTGGGCGATTTTTCTGAAAGTTGGTAAACAGGACTGTTTTGGGGAAGCCTGTGTGTCCTAGCCTGCCTGCTCATGGTCACTTGCGTGACCAGGGAAGTGAGGTTCAAGGGTGTGAGCTGTGTGTGTGGCATCGTGGTAGCTGGGCAGGTGTTCCTGGTATGTCTCCAGCCCCCTGGTATGGGGGAGGGTGTCAAGGTTGACTGTGTTTGGATTTATGGGGTTATTTCTTTTAAGGATTTATGTGATCTAATGGTTTAATAAGATCTTTGAGATTTTCACGGATGGGGGGCATGAAAACAGTGCAGAACTAGCTTGTCCAGATCCTGTTGACCCCATCAGAGATCAAAGTTTCTTGTGGATGCCCCAGATCCAGCTGGAGCCCAAAAGTCCCTTCATGAGATTGCTGGGGATGTCTTACCAGCACAGCTGAGTCCTAGCTGTCCTCTAGAAGCCAATTTAGAACTATCTGGACCTAAAAACTGAGTGACCTTGGTAGAGGTCGTTAGCCTGAGGTGCCGTGTGGGTCCCACCTTCTAGGGACGCTGGGCTTCACTCCGACAGGGAATGCTGGAGGCGCTGAGAGGCTTTGCCCAGCCCTTGCTTACCTTCAGAGAGCCAAAGGATTTTCTGCCTCCCCTGAAACAATTTTGGGGGAGCAGCTGGGACCTGGCCTGCTCAATGCACCAGTGTTAGGCAAGAGGAGACACCTTCACTGCATGTCCTGCGGGATGTTTGTTTTATCACCAAAAACTTCCAAAAAAGGCATAAAAGTGGCGGCTCCGGCTGCATCTGACTGATGTGGCTTTTGGAAGAAAAAAGTTCCCGTTCTTGGGATTTTTCCTTGTAACTCCAGGGATCCAGCAGGCTCTGGAGGAGGTGATTCCTGCTGGGATTTAATGGCATTTCCCCCACAAACTCCATTCCTTCAGGCCACAGCTCTGGCCAGGCAGTGGAGAGCACAGGGAGGAGACAGGGATAAGTGGACGGAGCAGGGAGCTGCACTGAGATTTGTTTGGCACAGGCTCCATGCACGCCTGGAAGCAGCTGTTTGAGACCAGAATTGCTCCTTTTTCTTTCCCCCAACAGGAATCATTAGGGTTTAAAACAGTTTCCAAAATTAGGGAGAGGCAAAGAGATCAAGGCAAAAACCCCTAGCTTTGCCATTTCATTTCTAAGGAAGAGAACTAAACCCACCACTGTAAAACTCGGTTTCTTTCTGAAATATGGCATCAGTTTATTACTCCTTGTTGGAAAGAGAAAAAAAATTAATTGATTGTCATTTTCCCACACATTTTTCTATGACTCAGGTTTACATGGTGCCCCGGCTTCTTGGCAAAAGAGGGAAGTGTTAGAGGCAGTGCCAGGGAAGCTAGCAAGGCAATGCATTTTGAAACAGCTGCCAGGGCATAGGATTACCAAGTAAATTTAAAATATGAAACTGTGGGTATTTAACCAGGGACGCGGCTGCTGAAGGAATCTGCTTGGCTGCTTGGCCGTGACTTGTCCCTTGCTCTGTCACTCCCGAGATGGGTTTTGGCTTCACCATCCTTGTGGTTGCCTGCGGGGAGCTGCGGGATGGGGCTCCCTGAGCCGACACAGTGCGGGGGGCCCCGAGGCACCCCGCTCCTCCCGAGTTTTCCAGCCGTGCTCACCTCCGTCCCCCCACCCCTCATTGGGGCGGGGGGGGATGCAGCCGGCGGGGAAGCAGCTCGGTGCTTGGGAAAACCCTCAAGGAGCAGCAGACCGAGTCCTGCAGGGCCGTCTGGAGGCAGGTTGGAGCTTGCCTGAGAGAAGGTTTCCTCAGAGCTGGGTGGGTCGTCTTGGCGTTTCACGGCGGGACGGTGAGACTGCAGAGTCGCTTCCCTCGGCCGACAGCACGGGGCAGCACCCGACCTCAGGAGCATCCCTTCGCTGCTTTCTGGGTTTGGGTAGATTTGGGATTTGCTCCTTTGTTGCAGCTTCTTTCCCTATTGTTTTATTTTTGCAGGTGAACGGCGCACCGCCGCAATGCCAGAGCCGTAAGTAGCTCAGTAGCACGTTTCCCTTGGATTTCACTAAATCCTTGCGCGGCCTCGGAACTGCTTGTGCTGGCTGAGCTTGTCTGGTTTTGAAGGGGTTCAGCTGGAAGACCAGTCTGTGCTCAAGACCTCTGTGCCATTCCCCTTGCAAAACCTACCTTTAAGTAAAAGTTGTTAGAGATTGCAATGTCCCAATTCTGACCTTGGAGCTTTCCTAGATCCTGAAATAGGGATTCAAGGTGGGCAGCACCACTCACTTTCCCGTGAGGCTCTTCACAGCCCCTCGTACAAATCCAACATATTCCCTGGTGTGAACAGAAGGGAGAAACCACCCTGCAAGGCTTTCATCGAGCAATGACACAGAGATGCCCCAGCTCAGCAAACCTGAACAGGATCCAAGCCCCCTGCGTGCCAGCCCCAGGCTGCACGGGGGGTGCGTGAATGAGGGTGTCGTGGCCCAAGCCGCAGGGACTGAGCTGGGGCTGGCACAGTGTGCACCGTGACAACTCTTGTACCATGTTTGAGTGGCATTTTGGCTTTCTGAGCAGTGACCCTGAGCGCTCACTGCATTTTCAGAGATCGCCGTTATTTCAGAGTTGGCTCACTTGCAGGTGGCAACTGTTAGATACAGAAATAAGGAGACCAACTGCAATCACATGAGATGCTTTTCTTGACTGTCATCTCTTTTTGACTCTTATTCACTGATGCCCTGTTCTCTTCTTTTGTTCCTTATTGCTCCTTCCCGAACTCACACTTACCTGCAGGGAGGTAAGTGCCTTTCCTTTCGTGACCTATCTTGATTCTACTCTGCATTTGTTGTGAGTTTGTTTTCAAAGGTGTTTTGTTGTTTTGTTTTGTTTTGTTTTCCCTCCCCTTTCCCCTAGAGAAAATCCAAGATCACAGCCTCACGCAAGCTCTTATTGAAGGTAAGTCCTGAGGGTTGGAAACTCCCTGGGGTTTGTCTTGATGGGGAAAAGGAGCTGGAGTTGAAGTGCGTGGTCGGTGGGACAGCGATGAGGTATGGCAGAAGTATGGGCCTTGGGGAGCAGCTGCCGTTCCCACCTCTTGTCTTAAAAATCCTCACTCATGTGGGCTTTGTGGTCTATGCACCAAACAAACCTCCCCTCCCCTTCACTTTACTAAGGTGGGGAAAGTCTCTGATGCCTTCAGCTCTAAAGCCACAGACCTTGTGTTTGTGCACCAGCAGCTCTGCAGCACAAGCTTGGGAGCTCCCTGGGTTCTGGTTTGGGAAAATAACTTACTGCCACAGCAGAGCAAACCGATGCAAAGAAAATGCTGACATCAGCATCCGTCGGGACCACCGTCACTGCAGCCCCATGGTACCTCTGGCCATGCTGCTCCCCCTCCCTTGAGGGTCACCACAGAAAAGGTGTAGGGGTTATTTGATGTGTGTTGCAGCAGCACAGTGATTTTGGGAGGACAGTTACAGCAGGGAGGAGGTTTGGGAGGCAGACAGGGCTGTCCCATCCTAGAGCTGTTGTACAAGGAGGCTTAGGGGGAGCCGAGAAGCCTGTCTGTTCACACTTCTGCCATTTACTTGTGCTTGTAGAGTTTGATGCTGGCAAAAGCAAAGGAGGAGTGGGATCAGGAGATCGTGGACAAGCAGTCAGAGAAGGAAAGATACCTGTCTGAGCGGATCACACCACTGCGTACCAGTGGGCTTTCCTTGAGCCAGCTCCAGGTATTTCTCAGGTCTGAGGGTAGAGCGAGCTCCTTGAGAGCGTGGAGGGGCATCGCTCACTGCTCTCCCATTGTGCTTGGCCCCCAGGACCTGTGCCGGGAGCTGCATGAGAAGGTTGAAATTGTGGATGAAGAGAGATATGACATTGAGGCAAAATGCAACCATAACACTCGGGAGGTAGGAGGCAGGATGGACTGTTTGCTTCTACGTTAACTCCCGCCCAGATAGTACCTTGGGATTTGATGGGGGGCTGACATGAACTGGGCTGAGCTCAGATGTGGGACACGCACCAGGGTTGGTGCAAAGGATCACTGGGCACGAGGTTCGTCCCTGCCTCAGGGAACTCAGACTGTCCACTGGGTTCACAGGCAACCTCCTCACTCCCCCAGCCACCCCAGGTGGGTCTGAGAGCTCTTTGTCGTGGTACGGCTGCTGTCTGATCAGGCTGGGCCAAGGCACTGACAACAGCTCTGTGCTCGGGTGGGCAGGCCCTTGGGGAAGGTGGTCCTCATGGCTTCAGGAGAGGCACAGACCCCCCCCGGGGCTCAGTGTCAGCAGAAACTCCTGCTTCACACAGGAGCTTTTTGTGCAAGGCAGCCACGTGACGACGTCCCACTCCTCCTCCTTTCCTCAACCTACAGATTAAAGATCTGAAAATCAAAGTGCTTGATCTCCGAGGGAAGTTCAAGCGACCCCCCCTGCGGCGAGTCCGTGTCTCTGCTGATGCCATGCTGAGGGCTCTGCTGGGCTCCAAGCACAAAGTGTCCATGGATCTGAGAGCCAACCTGAAGTCTGTCAAGAAGGAGGACACGGAGAAGGTGGGTGACTCTTCTAGAGGTCAGAGATGGAGACACCTCCTATGAATGCCCTTGCCCTTCTCCAAGGTCCTCTGTGAAGCCTGCATGGGTTGTGCTCATCCCTTGTAAGCCTCAGAAATAATACGGGGCAGTCCTTGTGAGACACTGCCCACTGAGGGATGTTGTAGGAGCACAGGGGAGCAGTTTGACTGGGCCAGGTAACTGGTGGATGCTAACAAGTGAGATTTAGGGCTGTGGCCCCTTAGCATGTCTGTTGAGCTGCACGTGCAAAGAGTTTGGTCTTGGTCTTCTAGGGAATCAGAAGAGCTCCTATTCAGTGCAATCATACCCAGAAAACACCCAGGAAACTCTCAGACCCAGATTAGATAAAACAGAGCAAGCCCAGCAAGCACACTTGGCCTGAGATAAACCGCCCAGTTCACACCAGCTTTGCAGACATGAGAGAGGGGAAAGTCTCAGTACCAGAGTCAAAGAGTGATGCCCCAAACTGCCTGGGGTGTACAGACACCCCAAGGGCAAGAGTCTTGCTGCTTTCCTAGGGCATGACTCCACAGGAGTTTTATCCTTTGGTCCCAGGTCAGCAGATTGGATGAAAAATCTCAATTTTCAATTGCTTTTCCTATTTTATTTAGTTGCTAGTATAGCACATTTTCAGTCCTTTGCATAGAAAACTGTGTTTACAGTCCTCAACGCCAGGTGGTGAACAGATCTGAGTTTATTTTAGATGTCATGAGATGATACTGGGGCATGGCTCGTAATCTATGAATGCTTGTGGGTTAGCAGAGCAACCACCTGGCCATGCTCCCAGAGCTGCCGTCATCTCTCCTTTCTTCTCTGGAAGCGGCTGCCAGGCTCTCACTGTCACACCAGCAATCCCAGTGCCCTGAAAAAGCTCAGAGAAGGTGGAGATGGGGTTTATGTGGGCTGGGAGGTCTAGGCAGAAAGTGGTTTTGCTTGCATTTGCCCTGGTGTAGGGGTGTAAATCTGAAGTCCTATGTGCTGTTTTTTTCCTCCTAAAGAAAATTTTGTGGGATTTTTGTGCCTTCTAGTGCATTAATGTAACTTAGCCAGGCTTTAGGGGGTGTATCCACTGGAATCCAGACCTCCCTGTGGAGACCAGAGCGCTGTTTGCCACCTTCCCAGTCAGCTCCATGAGCAGGGACACCCGGCAGAGCTGGGTCCGAGGGAGAGGATGTTTGCAACAGGGCAGCTGCCTTCCCCGTGCTGCTGGCGTGCTGGGGCCGAGGGCTCTGTGCGGGGGGTGGGACAGCGTGGGGCTGCTGGCCACCCCATCATGGCCACTGCGACCTCCCTTCCCCCTCCCTCCCGGCAGGAACGCCCTGTGGAAGTGGGTGACTGGCGCAAGAACGTGGAGGCCATGTCAGGGATGGAGGGGAGAAAGAAGATGTTCGATGCTGCCAAGTCCCCCACGGGCCAGTGAGAGGTAGGGGACTGGTCCTCCTTCCCCTGCGATGGCCCGTGCTCCCTGCAGCATCCCTGACCTGCACTTGTGGCTGAGCAAATGCAGAAACCGCTCCCACTCATTACAGAAAAAGGCCTCGTATGCCCCATCTCCCCCCCCACACTTGGGGAGGGTGTCTGGCACACACGTCCCTGCCATGGAGCCCCTGCCAGCAGCATGTCCTCCTCTCCCAGCTTGTCCTCCCCAGCTCTCTGGGGTCTGCTGCCCATGCCACGTTCATCCTGCACAGCATGGGCATCGCTGACACCAACTTCAGCTTAAAACTCTTCTGCCCCACTGCTCTGCTCTGTTTCTTTCCCACAGGAGCATTGGGAAGAGGAGCCTCCCCACCTCTGCTGCCTGCCTCCCTTTCCCTTGCTGCCCCTCCATGCTCTTTACGCCCTTTACGCTGAATTCACCACTGAGCTGAAACACGTGGACAACTGTGTGAGAAGGACATCTGAGCTTCTTTCTTTCAGCACTGCCACCAGCCCTGCTTCCACACAGCCCCGGCATAGTGGCTCCCTGGTATCACCTGCATGGGCCATGTTGTCTTTAAGGGGCCACTGGCCACCCCTCCCCTCCCACCACTACAGAGAGGCCCTGGGGACAGCTGATGGTCCCCCCACTCCCCCATCCTCCGGTGGGTGCAGCCTGAGATGTACCTGTGTGGCTGCACGTGTATTAAAGGAGGGTCTCCCAGGCACAGCGCCGTGTGGGCTCGTCACTGTGGGCACACTGGCCAGGGGCAGGTGCTGGTCCACAGCCCAATGGGGAAGATGCCCTGCTCCTTTCCTGCCACCCTGCCCTGTCCCTGTGCCGGGGCTCAGCCCAGCAGCACGCCCTGGGATCAGATTTGGTTTGGATTCATCTCTTCCAGCCCCCCAGGCTGCTCCCTGGTGTTCCTGGTGCCCCACCAGCCCTGCTGAGATGCCCTGGCCCCGTGTATGGGCCACCCCTCTCCCCTGCCGTGCACCCCAGCCCTCGCCGGACTCCAACGATGCACCAGCTTCCCAAGCAGCAAGGCTTGGGTCTCAGTGCGGAGACAGCTGGCTGCCAGCTCCCCCCAACCCATCTTGTCCTACAGTTTTGGAAAAGCCTTTAGAGCTTGCTCACCCAGGCACCAGCTCTCCCACCGGCTGCCCCATCCCAGGCACCGCAGCTGTGGGAATTGGGGCAGCCCCATTTCAAGGCTTAATTCGAGCAGTGTTTCAGGCCAGCATGAGATGAATCCATCCTTCAGGCCAGACAGTTCATGCTTCCCCACTAGTCTTATCATTTTCTATATCACAACCCCCCAAACTGCAGCTGGTTGAGTGCAAGCAGCTGGGAATGTGCCAGCTCATGCCCAGAGCAGGGCTGGAGGTGAGAATCGGTGAGAATTTGCACCAAACTGGATCTTCTGCCTGACTGCACTGCAGGAGATGCTGAAGCTCAGCCCCATGGGGTGCTCTTGATGGTTGTAGCAGTGCCTTGTCCATATCCCCAAGGTATCCAGAGGAATCACAGCATCTGTGGTTTCAAACTTGTGCCACGCCGTGGGTGTTTCGCAGCACATCCTTGTCCCTGGGTAGTGAGCTTGTAAAGTACAGAAAATGCAATAAACTCTGAGTAAAGCGCAGGTTCTCAGACAGGCACCAGGGCTGGAAGGAAACAGCATCAGAAAGTATGAGGTCTCTAGCAGAGCTCAATCTTCCCAGAAAAAAATTGCTTTTCTTTAGGGATAGAAAAAGGTGGCCCCATGCAGTTGGCTCTTGCAGGACTCTGCAGCAGGCTCGGGTAGCTCAGTGGCCAGCAGTGGCCAGCAGTGGGGGAGAGCCATTGTAGGGATGTGGGTTTGGGTTTGGGCTCCAAACCAGTAGGACAGGTGGTTTGCTCTGGGAATTACCTCTCCTTTGGCTAATTCAGGGATACTGAGACCAACTGCTCACGTTTGTGCCTGGGCAAAGAGGGTTAGGGCAGATGGCGACTGGTAGGAACACTTATTTCTAACATGATCATTAGCACTTGGGCTGCCCCAACACCCAGCAGCTCCTTCACAGAGAATTTAAGACTCAATATGAAAACTCTTCCCCAAATTAGGCTTAGATTAGAGGTGGCTGTCAGCTGGAAAATAGACATTCTCTCCCTTAGCAAGAAGAGGTGCTCAGTCTTTGTCTTTCCACCCGACCCTCCATCCCCATCAGCTAGCCCCCTCATCCCCCTGCTAACTGGGGCCAGGACCACCCCCTGCATGACTGTAGCAGTTACACAGCACGCAGAGCCTTTTCCACCCATTTTTTTTTCCTTTCCAAGCTTAATCAGATGGAGCAGCTGCAGCCTAGCACAGCGCCAGGACTCCCTCACCACTTGGCCTCACCCCCCGCACCTCGGGCCGGACTCCCAGGCACAGCCCGAGCAAGGGGGGTCTCTGTCTTGGCCAGCCCAAGGAACCCTGCGCTCGGAGGTGATCAGAGATCGCGTGTGGTGAGATCCCAGGATGCTGCCATGGTCCAACCTGCCCCACCACTGGAGGCAGAAGGTTTTGGCTACAGTCTCGCCCCTCCGAGCCTGCTGCCTGAGTGGGATCTGTGCTGAGGCAGTGTCCTGGGATCTCGCCATGCACGCTATCCCCAGAGGGAACTCACACACTCGGCAGCGATCCTGGCAGAGGAAGAAAGATGTGCAGGGAGAGGTAATAACTGTTACCTGACCAACTGGTATAGCTGGAAAATGCAAGTGAGGTTTCACGGAAACAAAGCCTTCTTCAGACCTGGAATATAAGTAGAAAATTGCAAGACAAGTCCGGGTCAATGCAGTTCTGAGCTTAGTGTAATTATGCTAATTTGGTAATTAAAAAAAAAAAAAAAAAAAAAGAGGCAGACGTTTGTGGGATGGGGAGGGATGGTAGTTAGATGAAAGGCAATATGGGCGATAGGTGCGGTGGGACCAGGCCCTGGTCGATGTTCGGCAGCCAGCCCGTGCCTGTGCCCAGCTCATCATCAGACCCTGTACGCCAAGACACCCAAAACTGCTGCAGAGCAAAACCTCAGGGCTCACCACCACATCTCTGCAGCTACAGTAAGAGCCAGCCACAGTGCACTCAGCAAGGTCCCAGAGCCCACATGCACTCAGCGTAGGCTATACCTGACTTTGTATGGCTGCCTTGTGTCTTAGATTGAGGGAAGGAGAGAAAACCCAACCCTAAAAGTCTTTGCTCTACAGGCTCCCCTACTTTTTCAAAGTACAATGCTTCCCAGTCACCATGTCCCACTTTCATCCTTCTCTGGTGGAAAACCACATTGATAAGTCATGGGAAAAGAAGAGTTTTATGTATTCCAGTTTTATTAGAAACATGGAAACACCCCATCTCTCTACAGGGATTGAATCTCGAGGGGAAAATGCAGCTGCCCGCGCTGAGCATGAGGCTCTCCTGGTGGCATCGGGGAGACTGGGAGCCAAGTCTTCTCCTCCACCTCTGGAGCTGCCTCTGTGGCTCTGGGCCAGCTGGGAGCCCAGCTCTCCCCTTGGTAAAGGGGTCGGTTGAGCCTTTCATCGCAGGATGCGCCTGGCTTCCCTTGCACCAGGCCAGCCCCACAGTCCCACTGTTGCTTCACTCCTAGGTGACAATAATCTCAATTTCTTCTCTCTGAAGCGGAAGGGAACCTTATTACTGAATATTCAGCCCAAATGGGGGATTTGAAAGGCTCTTCTTGGGGAGAGAATCTGATGCTGGAGCAATCCCTAACAAAATTGTGTTTATTTCCAGAAGGATTGCATAAGTCAGTTCTGCCTCTGTGAACTGAGCAGAGCTCTGTCCCTGCTGTCCTCCAGGTTGCTCCATTGCAGCCAAGAGCCCCCAAAGCAAAGCAAAGCAAAAAACAAAGCAAAGCAAAGCAAAATGCTGGGAGCTTGAAATTGGTGAAATTACAAATTAAATTGAATAGTAGAAAAAAGTATTAATCAACCCAATGATTTTCTACTGGAAAGGCTTTGTTTTCAAAACTGCAATGAGGGAGATGCAAAGCGCTTGTCCTGATGTGGCCTTTCAAAAATATCCCTGTTACTTGGTTGTAAAATAGTCCCTTCCTTTCCTAGGATATTCTGTGACCTCCTTGCCAATCAGTCATGCCTAGAAACTTCTGAACTGTGCCCAGGTATTTCCCTGAGCATATTTGCAGCTCAGCTGGTGGCTGGACCTGCAAAGGCAAGAAGCACAAGAGGATTAGTGGTGATGAACAACCCCAGGGTGGGAAGGGGTAAAGTTTATTCCATGGCCTCTGAAAACCACTGCATCACCCTGCCCTGCACAGGGGTTAACTGCAGGCTGCAGTCCTGCTGGTAAAGGTTAAATATTACCCCCCATGGCTCCCCGTTGCCTCTGTGGTGCTGCTGGTGCAGGACCAAACCCCGCGGCTGCAGCTGCGCGGGAGGCAACCCCGGGAGTTGTCACTGTGGATCCTGTGTGTCCCCTGCAGGATAAAATGGGAAGAAATGCGTTTCTTCATCCCCGTTTTCCCCTGCAGCCCTGGGGAGGAACAGGGCTGCGTTGGGGTGTAGCCCTTGATGTGAGTGGGGTACGTCGTCGTGCCTACCTGCCTTTGCTGCGGCCTGAGCCCTCTCACTCACTGCTCCTATCAGAGGGGATTTCTCACTAACTGCAACTAATTTCATGTGCTATGAGGGTTGCAGTCTGCCATACAGCTGCTGGCAATGAGTCACACTTATTCTATCTGTGGTCTGAAAAGTTTCCATTGACATAATTTTTGGGGGGATGTCCATAGTTCTTCACTGTTAGACCTGTGGCATCACAGAAGATGGCATCTAATGAGGAGGCCAATCTGCAGAGGAGAATGGGAACCTGAAGGACACTATAGGAGTGCCACAGTGGCATTTCTGAACCAAGATTTGTCTAGAATTTTTTATTTATTTTTAAAATTAAATTATAAATGAAAAAAAGCCCTTTTGCTAGCTGGGTGCAAGGCAGTTTGGACAATGGTTATTCATTTCCTACAGAAAACAGAAGTCTGTGGTTGAGTTCTGTTCAGTTTCTAAGCAAACACACCAACCTCAGACACTTTTTAGCTTTCTTTGCACAGTGGAAGTTTCTCTGTACTACCCAGTTTCTGGTGCATCACACACATCTTTCTAAAATATGCAGGAATTGTGGCCCTGGGCCATCCCAGCACCTGCAGAGCAGCGGCGCAGGGATGCAGGGAGAGCTCCGTGTGCAGGGGGGCAGAGCTTGTTAAAACATTTGCTGGTGGGACCTTTGTGAGCTGTTGCACCACCGCAGTGATGGGATGGCAGCTGAGCAGGGGTGAAAAACCCCTTTTCCTGGCCATCAAGCCCCATGCCTCGACCTGCTGGGGAAGCCCGGACAGACCTGCTGACTCCATTCCACAATTTGGCAGGGATGAGCCTGGGCAACCAAGGGAGGAGCCGAGCCCTGGCCGATGCTGGGGGACAGGCACAGGCAAAATGGGTGGAGGTGGAGGGCTCACTGCTGGGCCCTGGGGCAAGGCTGAGGAATGCCCTAATTACAGCACAGTTATGGAAGCTGGAAGCTCTCCACTGCCCTGTAGCCAAAGAAACAGGCTCTGCATGGGGATGAGACACAGGACACTGTTCCCAAGGGAAAAAAAATGCTGCTAATACTGATCTAGCGCCTTAGTGGGTATAAATGGGTGTCTTCTGCTGATCTGCATCAGATGAAGATCCTGCCTCCCTGAGCTGTTGCAGGTCTGCCGGCAGAACCCTCCCGTGAAGCAGCTGGAAATCCACTCCTGGGCAAAGTGGGTACCCGGGGAGCGGTGCAGTTTTACACCAGAGCCTTGCCTGCACACTGCAGAGTCCTGTGGCACAACTCCCTTGGCCAAGAGCAGATGGCTTTCCTCTTCTGGCTGTAGATCCAGGACAGCAGATATGACAGCCTCGTGCATAGAGCAAATCTGGATAAATATCAAACTGTTTCCCCTGAGCATCCTTTCCCCGCATGGACTCGTGCCCCTGCCTAATTTCATCATTCATTTCATTCCTTTGAGCTCAGGGTGGCCAAAATAGCTTTTGCGAAGGGAAGTCTGGTCCCACAGCGTGATTGGTGTTTGCTCAAGGCATCAGTGAGCTTGTGGATAAGGGCAGCCTGGTAGATAAGAGTTTTCCTGGATTTCCAGAAGCAAAGATCTTTAGGTCAGCCGCAGCTAAGAGGGAAAGTCCAATCAGCAGATAGGAAATGATGGTGTGATAAAAAACTGCTGATAATTCTGGCATATTTGACATAACAAAGTTGAAGGCTGATGATGCAGACATTCAGAAGGATATTGCAGGGCTTGGGGTTTGGGGATAAAATGACATGGGATGTTTGGGGAGTATAAAGTGACATACAGGGGAAAATTCAGCATGACTTCATATATAAAGTAATGGGCTCTGGGTTGGCTGTTGCCTACTTGGGAGCGATAGCCTGTGGTTATGATGAACATCAGGGAAAACATGAGCTAAATGGTTGGTAGAAGAAAAATTCTCAAACCATGAGAGATCAATGCTTTGTAGTGCCAAACAGCTCAGCAGGACCTCATCCAAATTAAAGGAGTGGCAGAAGCTTTTACAGCAGCTGGGAATAGACCTGGGGAACTCCTTGCTGAATGTTTTTTATACTAACAGTTTTCCTGGGTTTAAGGGTAATCCAACAAATCCATGGAGGAGAAACCCACTGAGGGGTCTTAAGTAAAGAGGAAATCACGTTCAGCTCAAAAGGACTCTGAGATGAAAATAAAGACGGGGGGAATGTGAGGGGTGAGTGTCATCGTGTCTCATCCTCTGCATAATCCCTGGTTGATAAATGCCTGTTGAGATTTTGTTCATCTTAATAATAAGAGGAATCACAAACTGTGAGGTTTTATATTCCTTTGCCGTGTAGATCCTAGCTGAGGATGTTCTTTCACTACATTCGGTCTAATCCTTTTTAAAAACCTGTTAAGCCCTATGCTTCAGTGATATCCTTTGGCAATGAGTTTTGCAAGTAAAGTGCTCACTATGTCTTAATCAGAAAGGTTTATTGCTTTATAGTAGCTTGCTGATGCTGGACTGCTCTATATAGTTTGCCAGCAATTAAGGATGCTTGCAAGGTTATTAAGTAATTTTTTTAATTTATGCCATAATTTGCTAAATTTTCTGTATGTATGAAAGCACTCAAAAGACAGCTGGTGATTGCAGGAAGAAAGAAAACCGGAGAATGAGCCCTGCTTGGAGCAGACGGCTCATTTGACAGGACTATCTTTTAGAAATGGGATTTTAATCAGGAACCTTTGATTAAAATAGTTCCTTTGGTTGCTCATGTCCCAGGCACAGCCCTGTGGGCTGGAGGCATGCATGGCAAGTCCTGCCTTACAACCAGTTCCTCGGGCTGACAAAGAGAGGGATCTCACTAGGATCAGAGACTGTGTTTATACTCAAGGGGTCCCAGGTGACTTTTTCCACAGGCACCCGCTGTGATAGCTGCTCAGCTGCCCCCAGCAGTGGGAGCACTGGGGTCCTGGCCACGCTGCACACCAGCTTTGCTCCCAGGTAAAAACCAGGCTTGGACCCAGCTCTGCTGTGTCTGGGTGCCCCCATCACCCCAATATGACAGTCCCTCCCATTGCCTTCATACCTGTCCTTTGAAGGAGAGTGTTGCCCTGTGTAAGCATGGGGTTATGGGGTCTCAGGACCAACCCAGGGGACACAGTAGATTTGATGGACTGGGTCCAGGCGTGGGATGAGCTGAGCACACAGCTCCACTCTGGCACAGGGCTTTGACACCCAAAAATTGGACATCCCTCTGCTTCAGCCTCTTCCTCTGAGACTTCGTGAGTGCTCTCTACTTCAACAAAGCTCATAACAACAGGGAGGCCGTGACAGCTCAATCCAAGATGTCCAGAAAAGACTGAAAGGAGCAGGGCACCCTCCCATGCTCTTTGGAAAGGGCTGGACTGCACCCAGACGGAGGTGTTTTAATGACTGTTTTGGATCCCTGGGAGCCAGCCTCCTCCCACTCAGCCCAAGGTAATTCACCTCCTCCACCAGTGTTGGAGGAGTTGTTGACTGGTGGAGAGTGGCTGGTAAAACAGGTTCTCTGCAGGGAGTTGTCTCCGAAACCCTGGGAGACCTGGATGGATCGAGCCCCGAGCGCGGGTCTCTGCTCGAGCCCTGGCACAGCAGGCAGCACGGAGTGATTTGCTTTTGCGTGGCACTGCTGGGCAGGGCGTCTTTTGCACGGCGCTGCTAGTAGACAAATTACAGCCTTGCCTCTGTCAAGGTAGATAAGGAACCATGTGATATAGCATGGTGGTAAATGGGTTGCAGGCAGGGTAAAGGTGCACAGGGAAATAACCTTGCAGGGCGTTCCTCCCTCCTCGGGGAGCAGAGTCTCTGGGCAGCGCAGATCCCCGTGGGTCCGACAGCACCTCGGCCTTAATGCCTGCACAAGTTTTGGGGGCTCTCTGAAACCCACAGAAAGCAGGAATGTCTTTTAGCAGAAGGAACTGGTCTCATCTCTCCAGGTAGGTGCTGTGGTTTAATGCTTAACCCTTTCCACTGGCGGGAGGGAGGGGGGGAGGGTGGGCTGCTGGCACAGGGAGCCTTGGCCGAGGTGTGCTGGGGAGGGTGGGAGGAGGGGGCAGCTGCTGTGGGGGGTGTTTTTTGCTGAGGTGGTGTCAGCCCTGTTGAGAGCTTGGCGCTGCTGGAATTTCTTGTGGGTGGGCAAGATCAGAGGCATTTTTGTTTCTGCTGCCTGGGGAAGCTAGGCACTGCATAGGAAAATGGCTCTGGAAACGGATCCTTGCCCCACGTTAGGTATATTTTTGGTCTGGTTTGTCTTTCTTTGGGGTACCGTCTGGCTGGGCTGTGCCTCCAGCCTTGGTCCCGGGGCAGCTGTGGGGTTTTGCACTCGCCCTGTCTCCATACAGCCCCTGGGTGCAGGTCCTGGCTCTGCTGAGCAGAGGTTGCAGCCTTTGCCCATCCGGCGCTGAGCAAGCCCTGATTCATCGGCAGTCACTGAACGATCCTCACAGCCCCGCGGCATTCGCCGCTCCGCTCAGTCTTTCCTAAAAAGTGATTTTGGCTCTGATGTGAACCGGGGCAGGTGAGGCTCCTGGGCATTGCAAGGTGTCAGGGGCTCACACGAAGTCTGGGTGATGTGGGGATCGTTCCCGATCTCCTGCAGACCCAGGGGCAAGCACTGCCAACCTCAGCTGCACAGACGGCATGATGGGCACTCAACTACAGCCAGCCTCTGCCACAAGAAGTAGGAGAAGTCTTAGTTTAAGGTGTTGCAATGGCTCCAACACTTAATTGTAAATCTCAGTACTTTGGGTAAGACACCTACCATGGCCAGCCCAGAAAAGGGGATTGAGACCCCATTGCTCGGAGGCTGCCAGCTCACACCCTGCCTCCGTCACGGATGGGATGGATCCAGAGGGCATCCCAGTCCCATCCAGATCCACCGCCTCTGAGCCGAGGACCTGCCCAAACACAAACCCAGTGGGGTCCTGCACCCAGGTTGTTTCACAATCCAGGAAGGCAGTTTCTCCTCTCTCATTAGATGAGACAGCATTCACTGAAACAGCGTAAGTGTCAGATATCTCAGCACTAATGATTAACAGAGCAGGAGAAGACAAGGCGGGGGAAAACTTGCCAATCTTTTTTTATTCATCTCTTTGAGGTTAAAGAAAAGTAAGACAGTGAAAAATTAATCTCTGTTTGAAAAGAGGAGGGAAATATTGGCAAAGCAAATCTGTAGCCTAATGGGTGGATTACTTAATTACAAATAACGAGAAACTGCATGTTGATCATGCCGGGTTATGTGCTACCTCTGAAGGAGTCAAGCAAATTCAAGGCAGGAAAATCTCATTTTCATTTTGAAGGACCCTGTGCATGCAAAACCAAAGAAGTAACTGGCTCTCACATGGGTTTAAACCGGCGTTAGTGCTCCACAGTGTCACTGTTTGAGGGACAAGAGTGCTTAGCAGAGGCACCTGTGTGTGTACGTCCCCACACACGTGCTAACCTTGCCGGGTGGGAATGTGTGTGTGATCACACTGGGAGATCACACTGTGCGGTGCAAATAAAGCTGTGCTGCCTTCCCAGTGCAAGCTAAGCTGTGTACAAATATTTACAGGTCAGGCCCGTGGAGGCGAGTACAGCTGCAAGGAGCTGAACGGGGGAAGCGTCCTCCGGCTGGGGATGCTCACGGGCTCCCTGGGGCAGCTCCCAGCCTTCTCCATCCCCACCTCTCCCGATGCCAAGCGGGGTATTGGGGACCACGGGGAGCCCCCCAGCAGTGGGTGTGCCGTTGGGGGTGTTCAGGCTGCTTGGGGGTGCAAGGGGCGATGGGGATGGAGGCAGCGGGAGGGAAGGGCAGCACACCCCCTGGCATCGCCCTGAGCTCCCAGCCAGGACCATCCCCCCTTTGCTCTCCGTTCTGCTCTGCTGACCCTTCCGCGCTCCCCTGCCTCCCTTCACCAGGAAGAACAGAAGCTGCAAATAGTTGCGGGGGGTAATGTGGTTTAATTTATGACCCAGCTTTCATTACACAGTAACTTGTAAACCATGCTGCGAGTCACCGTGTCCGCAACGACGTTAGCGATACCGCAGGCCCGGACCTGCTCTGACTTTCATGTTCTTAAAAGTCAAATTCAAAGTAAACCCTGAATCTGGATGAAACTGGAGTGCCAGCTACAGAGCTGGGATGCTGCGATGGGACAGATCCTGTGCAGGGAGGTCTCTGCCCTGTCGGGCTGTTGGGGGTGCTAGGAGCTCTGCTGGGACCCCTGCATGTGTTTGCAGTTGATTGAGGACTGGTGCTGTAGGTAAATGAACACTGTTGTTAAAAGCTCAATCCAGCCAATAAAAATATTTTCCAACACAGTTCATGCACTGGCAGAGAGGGTGGACAGGTTTTGCACAGAGAAAGGAACAGAAAGCTCGTGTTTCCCAAACAACTTGTTATTCAGGGTGACATTTTATCAAAAAAAAAAATTACACATTTGGCTTGTGCAAAATAGAATCTTTAAAGATGACTCGTTAAAGATGGCTACATACCTTGTCATTTTGGTACAATCTGTGATTATAAACAATTCCCGGTCCCAGCCACATAGCAATCCCTGTCTAGGGAGTAAGAAGAGCTCTTGCTGTCCCTGTTTCCAGGCAGAGCTTGTTAGCAGTTGCCTCAGCCTCTGATGCTTTTACGTCTGTGGCTTTTTTGCTCAATAAAAATTAAAATGCCAATGCCACAACTTGCGTTGGGGATAAAATCTTCTGCCACTAGTGGTTACCCTTCTAGTTTATGTGGTTGAGATCTATGTGGTGACTCTAGGGTCCTGGTCTTGCTGAGTTACAGGCTAAATATCCTTGCCCAGGAAGGTTTGCTTAATGTAAGAATTCCTTTTAAATGAGTGTTCCCTCCAACAGGCGAAATTAGGAGTTGTAAAGTCAAGTGATTGTGTTGGGAAATGCCTGCATCAGGTGGGTGGAGCAACAGTGCTTTGCGACACCTGGCTCACCTTGGCATCCCTCCCCTCCAGCCCTGTGCAGCAGATGGGGAAGGCAACCTCCATCAGCCCCTTGGCCCTTGCCCAAGGGTGTTCCAGTCTCCTTTCTTGTTCGGCATCAGGGCTGCAAGATCCCCACGCAGGACGAAGCCTCACCATGCCCTTATGTTTTGTCCCAAACAGCCTGGCCAGGCAGAGGACCCTTGAGGATGAAGAAGAGCAGCAAAGAGAGCGCCGGCGAAGGCACCGGAGCCTGCTGTCCTCCACATCAACAGATGAAGGACCTCCTAGCCCTGTGAAAGACACCAGTCCAGCTTCCAGCAGGTGTGTGGGGTCCTGCTAGCACCCAGCTTACTCATGATGCTGGTGGCTGGACAGCTTGCTGCCTTGTTTTTCTCAACCCTGTGCCAAAGCTGCTGCAGTTGGTGGGATTCTCTTCTGGATAAGAGCGGGCTGAACTGTAGGAAGAGCAGGGGTCCAGCGGGCCTTTGGGCAGAGGGATGGGCTTCACAGGAGTACAAGAAGAGGGGTGTATCTAAGTGGGCTTAATCATGGGCTTCAGCATGTCCTGTGGCACAGGGCGCTGGTGTGCCAGGGTGGGGGCTGGTGCTGAGGTTGAGCTTGGACGGGTGCTGGGATCTTGAGCAGGTAAGAGCAGACAGGCACCCGTCTCTGCAAGGCGGGTGAGCTGAGCATGCAGAACCTGGCTGGCCCTCTTCCTCCTCCTCTGAACCTTGCAGTGATGTTGTGTTTCCTTTGCTGAAGTGGGGAGGTGACCCAAGGGCTTCCCAGGGCTCCCAAAGTCCTTTACTGCAGGGAGCTGGGATTTGGAGGTGCCCTGAGGTCAGGCTGCCCTTACACAACATAACCACTCTCTAAATTGATCCCAGAAATGTTCAATATTAAGACAGTTTTTGCCCACAGTGAGACTCATGTTCTAGAAGTGTTTCTGTTTCAGACAGGATAGAGTTAGGATTCTTGGGCTGGATATGGGTTGAATAGGGGCTGGACATGACTAATATGAACAAGCTCGGTAGGACAAGTCCCCCTTCTCTGATGCTAGTACAGGCTGGCCATGTGGTAATTGCAATTCAGGAGAACAAATACTATCCCATCTCCTTCCCAAGCCTTGGAGACTGTATAGATACAGTCTGCATGGCCCTGGACAAATGTCCTAATTGCCCCTTCCCAAACCTGGTGCCTCTTTGACTGTGGGAAGGAGGGGAAATGACTGCTTCACAGAATGTGTTGGGACTGTGGTTGAACCCTGCCATTGCAGATTGACTTACAAACAACACTTTAAATTTACAAAGAGTGATATTTTTTCTAGTCCAGTGAAAAGCCACAGACACATAACTCATCCAGCAGCAGATCCAGCATGCTGCTTCGAGCCCACAGCTCCTTGGCACAGGACTTGGTGGATGTTGATGTGCTGGGATGAGGCTGCAGAAATGCTTTATCTCTGGCACAGGAAAGAAAAAAGGACTTTTAATCCAAACTTGTCCTTGGACAGCCTAGCTGGGGTGGTGGGGATGAGTGTGGATGCAAGTCCTGGTCTGCAAGGATGACTCCAGGATGTTGGTGGGCTTTATATGCCACCCCCCACCCCCCCGAGCCTTTGACCTGGGTTAACCTCACCTGCAACATAAAAACCAGCCCTCTGGGGTGCTGAAGTTTGCTCCCCATTTTGTCTCTGTCTCTAGACCGCAATCCCTGGTGAAGCTGGTGCCTCCGGAGGACAGGGAAGACCATAAGCTCTCGGAGGTGCTGAAGACACAAGAAAGGAAATGGACAAGGTCCCCGATGGCCATCTCTGAAAAGTTGAGGCAGGAGAAGGAGCAGCAGGAGCCAGGGGTGGGAACAAGCCGGGTGGAGTCAGGGACACAGCTACGCAGGGGACAGGAGAACATCCAGTCTGGAGAGAGGGATCAGGATGTGACCAAGGGCAGAGGGGACCCACCAGGAGACCAGCACCCAGAGCCGACCTCAGAGAGGAAGGTGGTGGTGAGGGGACGGCTCCAGGACAAAGAGGGACAAGGTGTGGGGACGCCTCGGGGAGAGCAGAGGAAGGAGGTGGGGGAGCCGCAGCAACGGGCATCACCGGAGCTCGGGGGCTGCCGGCTCCGCGAAGTGAAGATCCTGACCAGACAGGGAAGCCGCAGCATGGAGGAGAAGACAGCCTTGGTGGTGACCTCGTCTCCGGACCAGCAGGTGAGCAGGAATGGACAAGACACCAACCCTTGGGGTGTGGGGTCCTGGGTGTTGGGAGGACAACAGAGAGAGGGAGAGCCCAAAAGTGCCAGGAGTGAAATGAGACCCGTAGGTTTTTGGGGAAGGTTTTGCTGAGAGCTGCAAACCATGAGGTGGTGGACGAGGTCCCACCAGCTCCTCTCCTTCCCTTGCATGTATTATTCTGATCATCTTCTCCAGCAAGCCCCTACTGATTGCCATCATGGTTTCACTGAAGAGGTGTCTGGGGCTTTGCACATCCAAGTGAGACAATCAAGGTTTGGAGGATTTTGATCTCAGACTTCTGCCTCCAAACCGCTTCCCACCCTGGCTGCTCTGCTCCCTGCATTTCAACCTTCTCTGAAAACTCTGCAGGGATGCATCAGATGTCTGTTTTTTCCTCAGCAACCATCCAGGAATCCCTCAAAGGAGGTAATACAGCTGCCTCCCACCCAAGATGAACCTGCAGAGAAGTCAGATACTTCTCCAACTCACATCACCTACAGCAGCTCCATCAGACGAACCAGCCCAAGAACTGTCTCCTTTCGGGTAAGAGATAAAGCAAGTGGGAGAAAGACCCCCATTTAGGCAGTGGAGGATGTGGGGAAGAAAGGGTTGCTTTGGTCTCCAGGTTTGCTGGTAGAGCCTGTTTTCAAAAGTGTGTTCAAAGTCCACCCTTGATCTGGGCATTGCAGTTCTGCTTCAGTCTTTCTTCTATTTTCCTTCTCCATGTCTGACCGAAGGCCTGTGATGATGAACATGCCCATGTTCATATGCTTTATGCCGGCACGGAATCTTGTGGCAAGTGATGAGAAAACAGGGAGCTCATTGTCCTAAGGTTTTCCAAAGATTCAGAAATGACCATCCACTCGCTGGCATTTCTAGTCTTCTCTGAGAGCACAGGATAAAAATAAAATCCATCCTCCTTTTTGTCCCTTGTTACATCGCTGAGAGTATCTTCAATTCTAGCCCCCACGAAAAGATCTCTGGAATAAGTGCTTGGAGAGGCTGGGAAAATCAAGAGCTATTGAGATCCTCCCTGCTGTGATTCAGGGTTGGCTGGCTAGGCTTCATTGACTTTCATGGTGCTTTATTGGGAATAAAACTGTTAGCACTACAAAGTGTCTTCAGTCTGGAGAACTTTGAGATATTGGATAAACTCTGGTGTGGGTGAAAATGGAGCTTGCTTGAAAACAGGGGAGATGAATCTGAGACAGTTTGATAGCCAAAGATGGCTCCAGTATCTCCTCTCTTTGTGTCTTCCAGGTGATCTCAAGAAAACAGAAAGAAGAAAGCCAAAGCCCTCTCACAAGGAGGTCAGCACATCTCTTCATGTTACTTTAGTCTTGATGAATTGTCACCCTTTGTTTTCCAAGGGAGGAGGAGGAGGTGATGGGACCTGGTACCAGCTAGTGAGTGCTCTGGCACAGGTCTGCTGAACGTTGGTTCGTGGGGTTCCTGTCTGCCCGGGCAGTGATGCTCAGCAGAGAACAGGACGATGTCCAACTCACCGCTTGCATCTGTACAAGATCTCCCCAGCTAGCCCCTGTTGTCTCTTGGTTGATGCAGTTTCTCATTGGTTCTTGTGTCTGCACAGGAGTGGTTAAGTGTTGAGTGGTGCAGCACCACAACAGGTTTCCATCCTTGGAGATACCAAAACCCATTATACAGGTCCATGAGCAACCTGATATGGCTTTGGTGGCCAGATCAAGTCATCCTCCACATCTCAATGGCAAGGTTTGGACAGGTAGCTTCAAAACTCTTGAGGAACCAGAGGCTCAGGTCTTGATGCAGGGAGTCAATAGGGTGCCCTCTCCCACCTCGGAATGCAGGGCAGGGTGTGGGACTTTGTGGGCACCTGGGATTGCACATATGCAATCATACGCAATCCACATAGGCAAACTCATACTGATATTGGTGAAGGTGCAATTCAGACCAGGCAGTGGTGAAGACAGGGTAAACTGAGGAGCTCAGAGCTATTTTTCAATGTACAGTGTGGCCCTAGTAAGATGGTGAGACCCAGAGATCTCAGTCACCAGCAGGGAATAAGCTGCCTCAGTTCACTTGGCAGATGGACACAGGAGTGCCTGGGGTCTTCTCCTGCCAAGTGGAATCCCCCAGGACTATGGGCTGAGTCCCAGGAGGTCCTGAGGGGGCTGTGTCCAACTGTCTCCCCTCTTCTTCACCAGTGCAAGTCTGAGGATCCCAGGTAGCAGCACCACCATTGGGGAGAAGCTGGAAAAGTACACCTCAGCCGTGCAGGTACTGAAAATCCTTGGCATAGCTGGACTGGCATGGGAGGGATGTGTGGGGTGAGGGAGGGGGGTGGCTTGGAGCTGAGTGGGAAAGGGAGAGAGGGACTGAGCTGCATCAAACAACCATGCTAATGGGGTTGAAGAAGGTGGTCTCAGTCAAAAAAAAGGGATTGGCCTCGGGGTTTTAGGAGCAGGGAAGGGTTATCCCTTGGAGAGAGTCATGGGGATGCTGCATGGCCCTGCTGTGGGGAAATCCCATGAACTGGTGATGAGCAGGGAGGGAGCAGACCCCAACGGGCTCAGGACATGAGCCAGAAGCAGGACTTTGCTTTTACTGGTTGGGGTGCAGCTCGGCCCTCACTGACGCCCCTCTCTCCTCCCAGCGCTCGGAGGTGGTGAAATCGTCCCTGGCGGTTCAGAAGAGCCTCTTGCTGTCCTCAGAGGGGGTGGCCAGCAAGCGCAACTTCTTTGAGGCGAGTGCTCCCAGCAAGTCTGAACCACTGGCTGTCAGAAAGGTAAGGGCAGGAGCTGGCCCGAGCAAAGACCTGCCAGCAGGGTCCTGCGCTGGGGACAGGCACCAGATTTTTAGATAAATCTCCCTCTGCTTGGATACCAATGCATAGGCCAGCAGGCTGCTGCCTGGGTGCAGTTTGGTGGGAGTTTGGTGCTGGCTGAGTGATGCTGGGCAGGGCTGGGCTCAGGCACCGGCTGCCACACAAACTGCGCTCTGGCAGTGTGTGGGTTTGTGCCGATGTGCTGGTATTTGAGGAGCTGGGATGGGGCCAAGGCGTAGGCTGGTCTCTGCCTGTTGCAGGTTTGCTCAGTCTCCCTGTGCCCTGAGGACTGTCCCGGGTTATATTTGTGAAGTGGGAGAGCTGGTGCTGTAACCCTGCTGTCCCTCTCTGTGCCACAGGACAATCTGAAGATCCCAGGATCGGTGACATCTCGCATTAATCTGTGGATCAGCCGAACTCAGGAACCTGCCAAGGAGGAAAAGAGCAAGGTACCAGCTTGTTCCAACACCTTGGGCTAGAGCCCTGAGACCAGGCAGCCTGGTGGGACACGTCCCTGCACCTGGGGTGGTGCGTCTTGAAGGGTTGCTGAACCCTTGGTTGAACCCATTAAAGGGTTTGAGAGGATCTTAGCCAGAGTTGGAGGTTCGGGTGCTTCAGGGCCATCATGGCAAGATGTTGGGGCTCGTTGCTGTGCTGTGATCCTGATCCCAAAGTACCCAAGGCAGCTGCTCCCAGCCCTTGGTGGGGTGAGGAGGGAGAAGGCACCAGCTGGGTGCGTGTCCCAGAGGTTATGCAGAGGGTTCTCACCCTGCCAACAGTGAGAGGGAACACCCCAGCATGAGCCCATCATTACCAGTGTCTGGAGGACTAGCTCTGACCTGGAGGTCACTGGGGGATGAGCCGTATGCTTGGTCTTTCAGCACTGGGCCCAGCGGGGCTTGGAGAACTGTGTGTGCACCAAGAGTTCCTGCTGCATGTGGGATCTGGAGCGGTCTGCATCCCTGAGCGTACCCCAGCCCCCAAAAGTAGGGTGCCTTGTAGCTGTGGGGTCAAAGTGCCCAGCTAAGGGGACTCAGAGGTCAGCACTCTGCCACTGCATCTGCTCGAGGGACATCGATGCGAGAGGGGACAGACAGGAGACCCTTTGGCCTATGGGTAGTTTACTGTACTTGAAAAGGAGAGGTTCAGCAAGTCCTGGGGTGGTATCACTGTTTACAGTAATAAGGTGTTTTGCCACTGCTCATAGCAGAGTCTCCTGCAGCCACCTGGGTACAGGACCAGGAGGGGCAGCTCCAGCCCAGCCCCGCAGCCCGGGCAGGCAAGCCTGGGCACCCCCAGTGCTGAGCTGCAGAGATTTGCACTGCCCAGACATGTCTGCACTGTGAGGCTGTGCTGGTTCTGTGTCTGCCAGGAAAAGGTTTGCTCCTGGGGTCGCTCTTGGGTAAAGCTTGCAGCTCCTTTATCAGATTTTCCTATAATAATGCCTGCTGCCATCTGTCTCTGTGGACTGGAGCTGCACTTGGTTTTGAGGGTTTACCAGGTGCAGGATCTTGAAGCTGGCTGGTTTTACCTGGAGCATGTATGCTGCAAGGTTTTGTTAGAGTCAGACCAAGGCAACACTGCACATGATGCATGGAGAAAAACTTCTCATGCCACTTATGACTCTCCTGTTTTCAGGACATCAGGAAAATAAACAGCCTGCCAAACCGTGATGTCTGGGTAAAGCAGCCTGGAGACACCCCTGGAGACACCAAGGTAGACATGCAGCTACTTTGGAAACTGGTGCATCCTCTGAACTAGGGGCAGAGCTGGGACCTACTCACCAGTGCATCACCCACAGGGCAGATGTGGGAGAACCAGGCTGTGGGGGGAGGAGGGGTCGTGCGGGACATCCAGGATCCCATGAGTTGGGGGAGCCAGCAGCAAGGGCCAGCTGGAGGCAGCTGTAAGGGTGAGAAGGGGTCTGCTCTGGGAGAGGAAGGAAACTAGCAAGTGGTGGGATTTAGGGGATATCTGCCTGCCCCATCCCCTGTTGGGGACAAGTATGGTCCTGGATAAAGTAGCTGCCTATGGGGGTTTGTAGCTTCAGGCCCAGTCTCACTGTTTCTCACTTTCTTTTCCAGTCGTAATAATATTGTAATAATATCAGATGATCTGGGAAAAACTGTTTTGCTCTGAAGATCAAAGCCAGCCCTACCCAACCGTCCAGCAGTCCACTGCCATGAGAGTCTCCTGTGCCATGTGTAGGTGCACCCCAGGTTGCTGGGGTCTTCTGCTTGTGGGACAGGAAGGAAGAAGACTGGAGGATTATCCCTGCACCCCCAGTCCTCATTCACTGCCTGCCTGAGAGTGCCCAGGCCTGGAGGCTCCTTGCAAATGCTGAAGGCAGACTCTTGCCTCATTTCCCCAAAATGTGTCTTTGTTTTGCTCCTAATCTCTGGCTGTGCCCCATAGCTGCTTGCAAAGAGGATCAGCCTATATGTCTCCTTTGCAGCTGGATCATGTTGGTGGGGCTAGAAGCTGCCTGGCCAAGGGAGTTTCAGCTGCACGTCCATGGACCATGTCCATCCCTGCTGCCTGGCCCGTGTGGGGTGAGGTAGGGTAGGCAGATGTCACCCCCTCTCCTAGGCTGTCACTGCTGGGGGGACCCAACCAAAAGCACATGGTGTTTGCAAAGTCACACGGGGGCTGGTGTAACGGAGATGCCTCACTGAAGAAGGGTGGACCTGACGGCCCTGGTGCTTCCCTCCAGCACGCAGCCGAGCCAGAGCCAAATACTTGGCCTTCTCCACCCTCCTTTACTCTCCCCTGCCCCCTACAAGCAGCAACCCCTTTCACTTAGTGATACAGGAAGGGTGGGCTAGCCATGGCCCTATTTTTGGGGTTGCATGGAGCTGAGTGCCCTGTGCTGGGCTCCTTCTGCAAACCCCATTTCCCTCTCGCTCTTCTTCCTGAGCCCTTTGCTTGTAGCTGTGAAAACCCTTGGTCTTGCACTTCCCAGGCTGCTGAGCCCACCCAGAAGGGAAGTGGGGTGCTGTCTCGAGGCCAGCTTTAGGGTGCCATGGGCAGCACATAAAAAAGTGCTCAAATCCTTGTGCTGGAGCCATTCAATGGGCTAGGGCTGTGCCTTAAGCAACCATTGTGGGTGTCCAAATTCAGTGTGGGACTCTACTGCTGCTACTGGATCTGATCTTGCTTGCTGGGCTGTGGAAAGGACTTTGTTTCTCTGTGCCTTTTTTTTCTAATAAAAGTTGCTCTTTCTAAGATGCTCACGGTTCACCTGCTTCTGGGCTGGGGCTGGAAACAGTTCGCTTCCCTTCTGTCAAGAGGAGAAAAGGCAAAAACCTGAGACAAATGTGTGCTGGGTGGGGAGAGGGGGTGGGTAAAAGCAGCGTGAGACTCTTCCCTTCTCATTACAGCATCTTGGACCCGGTGCAGCGGCTGAGAGAGTCCGGGTCGGGGGCTGTGATGGGGGGTCTTGTCCTCCGCTTGCGGCAGCGCTGCCTTATCAGCGTCCCTGGCCCTAGAAAGTGACAGCTGGCTGGCTTGTGTCAGCCCCTTGGGCACTCGCGTATCTCAGTTCAGAGGGTTTAAAATAGCAAATCTCTGAGGCCACACAATAGCTTGGGCTTATATGGGCTCCTGGGGGGAAAGGGGAGCGGTGGAGGGGGCCAGGGCCGTGGCTGCCAAAATAGCAGCTCACAAGTGGTGCATTCCTCGCTGGGCGCCGGGCGCATTCCTCCTGGCGCTGCCCGCCCCGGGGTGGGTGCTGGAGCCCCCTTAAAGCCTCCTGCCCCCAAAGAGCACTTCCCAGACGCCCGCCGGCTTCCCCTCGGCTCCCTGGGATCTCACCGGTGCCCGGCGGCAGAGGTAAGGTTGGGGTGGCAGGGTACCTGCTTATGGCGTAGGATGCTCAGTGGAAGGGCAGTTGTTAAAGACCCAGAAGAGCTTTGGCTCACGGTTAATGATCCTCCCCAGCCGCTTGCACTGGGATGTATTTTTGCTGTGGAGGCATTCCCACGGATAAAGCATCGGGATCCTCTCCAGGGGGTTGTGTTTGCAACTTGCCCAATGCCTTTTGAACCACTCCGATGTGTGCCAAGGCGGCTGGGAAGGATTTTGGCTGCCCTGGTTCCAGGGAAATCTCATAGATCCCTATTCCCTGTGTCTCTGGAGGGGACAGAAAGGATGCGATGCCTGTGGGAGAGCCGGGTCAGCCCGGGTGGGTTGGAGGCGGGATGCTCCTGCGCACGGTCTGACCCTGCCAAGCAGGAAGGGAGCAACGGCGTGACCCACACCAGAGCAAACGCTGGGAAATGAGAGCTCCATGTCTGGGTAGCCTGGAGGAAAGCAGAGATTGCGAGCTGTGAAGGATTAACTCAGCCCCAGAGGTGTGACCAGATAGGCCCGAGCTAATGGAGTGGGGGTTTATAAGGACTGGGAGAGATATCTGAAGTATTTAATTCACAGAAAATGATGGGAGTTTTTATTTTTCAGTCAACAATATGTGGAATGTTTCCTCTTTAACTCTGTAACATGTCTACTGAATTATCTTAATTCTTTCAAAACAAGATTTCAAAGCTTTAATTGAAAGGTTTATCTGTTTCTGTGCAGAGGATGGATAAGTATTTCCTAAAGCCATTTTCTGGTGCAACATTAGTTTTTCTTGTGCACCCCCTTAACAGTCCTGGTTTTGTTGTTGTTCCTCAGCAAATGGTCATAGAATCTAGTGATGTAAGAGAGAGGAGATGAAAGGAAATTTAGAAATAAGCTTTCACAAATGAGTGTTTCCACTGCCATGTCCAGGAGGGAGTCACCGCTCTCGTGTCAAGAGAGGACCTGATGAAGTCTTGGGTGCTCAGAGGCCACATAAATGATTTGGCCAAACTCTGAGGGTAGCAGGACCGTGTTGAGCCTGGGGGAAAAGTAGGGCCAGAAATTAATGTTCAACAGGGAACAAAGATCAGACGGATGGTGCTGGAGGCACCGGTGTGCTTGCGGCCAAGCCCCAGATGCATCAGAGGGAAGTGAACAATGATGGCAGAAGCAGGCGGTGAACCCGAGGCAGATGGGGCTGAGTTCTGACTTCATTTGTCTCCAAAAAGCACCTTCTGAGTCACTGCTCAGAATTGAGATTTGACAACCCCCTCAGGAGCCACGGGTATGCAGAGGCACCCCTCCTGTAATGCATCTGTCCCGTGCTTGAGGATTCTAGTCCTGGATTCAGCATCTTGAATAAGTGATCGTGAAGCCTGTCCTACCCTTCCTGGGTAATAAATGCTCAACAGATGTAGCCAGGACCAGTTGTTCCCAGCCACCCGGCAGAAGTGAAGCTGCGCTGCTCTGGGAACAGGTGGTTTAGCACATGGAAGCTATTTCTAGAGCTGCCTTTTGCTGTCCTGCTGCATCTCAGCTTTGCTGAGGTCTGGCACGAACGCAAAGCGGTGGACAGGCTGTGCAGGGGCTTGGGGCGATGCTCAGACCTGCTCTGGGATGCCCAGGGCTGGGCTGGATCACGGGGCCGATCTGTGCAGACCTCACAGAGGAGCACTGGGTGGGCACGAAATGAGATGAGATGAATAAAGTCCTCCTGGCCATGGCTGTGAGGGAGACGAGTGTGCTGGGAAGATGGTGGTGGCCGTCTCTGCAGAGTTATTAGCCATATTGCTAAACCAGGCTGTGAACTGTTCCTTTCAGCCAACCTCAGCCTCAGAGCCAGGACCAGGGGGATAAATGCTCCTGTTGAGTCCAGATTGCACCTTTCCAGAGCGCGCTCTGCACTCGGAGGGCTGTGCTGGGAGGCCTCACCAAGGGCTCGTGCTGTGGCTTGTGCAGGACTGTAAATCCGCGATAACAGGACATCCCTGCAAGTTCCTATATCCCAACCGAGCTAAGAATAGTCAAGAAGCAAAACAAGATGAACATTATAATTGGGTTATTTTCCCATGCCCTGAGCAAACACAGCACCCTGAGAGGGCTGCGGCGAGGGGAGCTGCGTGTCCTGGACACAGCTTCTGACAGCAGTTATCAGTGCTGCATGAGGCAGTGCCTAATCTCCTGCCTCCTATTTGGGGCAAGCTGTGATCCTGGGACGGGGGGTGGGAGGGGGAGCCTTATCTCTGCTGAGATAACACTGTCACAGCCTGGCTGGGGACAGCTCAAAGCTCCAAGTGCTTTAGAGAGACACAGTATCTCTGTGCCCATGTCTCGGGTGCTGGAGGACAGGCTGTGCTTGTCCTTATCTCAGCTCCTAATCCTTGCTTTTTCCAATCTGACTTCAATTCTGCTAGATAACCAGGCATGTCGGACTCTGAAGAGGTTGTTGAAGAATATGAGCAGTAAGTGGTGTGCTTTTAAACACCCTTTCTTTCTCCTTATTCCTGCCTTCCTGCAGGGTCACAGCACTGCTTAGGGGTGTTGTTTTTTTTTTTTTTTTTGGGTGGGGGGCAGGCACCAGCTCTCATCATCACCCCAGCACCCAGCGTGAAAGGGCCTTGGGATTCCCCCACCCTGTGCCCACCTGCACCGCTGCTGTGGTAGTGCCAAGACCCTCAGCAATGGGGAGTTTTGCATCAGGAGCTGTATCAGCACATACATGGCAGGGGACAGTCCCTGCATTAAAACTGCTGCAGTCCAAATTAGTGAGATAGAGCTGGGAAAAGCTGACATCAGCAGTCTGCTGCTGCTGGAGTCCTGCTGCCACATCCAGAGCATTGCTCCCCAAGGCCCAAACTTGAGGTCAAATTTTGCTGGTGAGGGCTGCTGGACCATGAGGCGTGCACTGGAGAGAAGGGGTTCAATATCCAAGCTATGTGGTTCTAGGGATCATTCCAAACACAGCTCCTACTTCTCATCCACCAGCAGAAAATGTAGATCTGAATCCTTCTCTTACATTTAAACGCCACAACAGACTCGCACTGTCTCAGCAATCAGTCTGACCCCCGTGCCCAGCGTCCCCTGGATACACCTGAGGACAGATTGCATCTCTCCCAAGGTCAGGAAAGGATTTAGGGGTAGAGATGGGATGTGAGATGCCCATTTCTAGGATTACAGGCCATGGTCACTCAATCTTCTCAAGCTGCAAAACTATGTTGTGTTCTGACCACTGTTGAAGTGTCAGTTGAGCATTTCAGCTCCTGTGATCTGCAGAATGCAGGGTGACCAAGGTCTTGTCCCATCCCCACTGTCACCTTACAGCATGCCACACAGCAGCCGGGCCCAGCAGTCACTGCCCCTTTCTAGGAAGAACGTGAGCCAGCCTTGAGGAAATTTCAAATTCCCCTTTGGTCTCACTGATGGACATGATGCCCTGTTGCAGCAGATCACTGTAACTCTGCAAATTTGTGTTGTGCTTTGTAGGGAGCAGGAAGGTAAGAGGACATGGAGCATCTGCACCTGCCCCAAGGCTGAAGCTAAGAAATGATCAGAGCAGCTTCAATAACCTGCATCTTTTTCCCTTCCCTCTCTCCCATCTGTATGTGTGCTCTGTGAAGAGGAGTACGTGGAAGAAGGTAGGTGTTTCACTGGTGATTGCAAGGACCCAGAGACAAGTGCTGTTCAGTATTTTGCTTGGGTGGGTTGTGGTGGTAAGCTCCTTGGCTGCAGTGAGCAAATCATGACCAGGAAAGGGAGGTGAGACCATGTTCTAGATTTCTCCATCTGAAACATCAGTGGGATCAAACCCAGCCTGAGTTTTCTTAGGATCTCTTTTGTCAGAGTGATCCTTGACTCAAAACAGGGGTGGAAATGCTGGACTTAGATGTTGGCAGGGATGTGAGCTCAATAACTCAATGGGAGCTGGAGCCTCAGCTGAATGTATTTTAATGATGCTCAAGCACAAACCTCCAGCCGCCTCAGTCTGATGAAGAAGCAAACCCCATGGTGCACGCAGCTGCCCTGGGACACAGCTGGGCTGTGCATTTGGGGCTGAGTTGGGAGCTGGGTTTTGCTGAGCCTCTTGCTGCTTCAGAGCACTGACAGGCAGCCCGGGCTGCTGCATGGTAAAACATTCTGAATGTTAAAAGCAGAGAGAGGCACAAGGAGGAAACCACTGAAGTGCTGGAGTCCTCATCTCATGCACGCCATAGCTACACCCCACAGCTTTGTGGCGTCTGACTAACCTCTGCACTTATTCCTTTCCCTCCTTCCTGGCTCAGAAGAGGAAGAATGGATAGAGGAAGAAGACGGTAGTTATTGCACCTTTCTTTATTTCATCTCTCCACTGCTGCTGTGAATATGTTGTGGGTTGGTGTGTCTTTTGCCTCTC